CTGAGGATCCCCTCTGAGCAGGGAAGGCACAAAGCCTTTTCCACGTGCCTCCCTCACCTGGCCGTGCTCTCCCTGTTTATCAGCACTGGCACGTTTGCCTACCTGAAGACCCCTTCCATCTCCTCCCCATCCCTGGACCGAGTGGTTTCATTCCTCTACTCTGTGGTTACTCCAGCAGTGAACCCCCTCATCTACAGCATGAGGAACCAGGAGCTCAAAGATGCCCTGCAGAAGCTCATTCAATCAGCATTCTTTCAGCAGCAATAATCTGCCCGTGTCTCTTCACCAGTAATTTCCAATATGCCTGGGGAATGTCCTGTGCTTTAGGTATTTTATTTGTGAGAATTCTGTTTGGCCAGAAATGTCTGCATCCACTCCACTTTTCCAGAGACATGATCCCAGTCTGTCTGACCCAAAAGTCTTTGCACTTGTTTCTGGCATGACGGTACAGATAGCCACCCATGTCACATCTCTGAAATAAAAGGGGTTTTCCTTAGTGGCAGTTTCTGGAGCTTGGGCTCTTCTTCCAAAGCTGAGGTCAGGAACAGCCTGAAGAAATTGCCCTGTGAATCTGTGCTGCTTTGCTGGGGTTTACTGTGGGATGAAGGGAAGGAGGACATGGGATGATGTGTTCAGGAGTGGGAATGGAGTGAGCTTTCACTGGTGGCCTCCCTGTCCAGCCACTTACACCACTGCCCATTCACCTCAGGTTTCTGGGTGAGTTTTGCTACACAGCCACTTCCTTCCTCCTGCTGGGATCAGTGCCTACATGGGGGGAATGGCCAGCCCTGCTCGACCTCTCTCCTTGTCCAGACACTTGCAGATCCCAGAACAGGGGGGAGCGAAACTCCACGTGGGATGCAGTTAGACGTGAGTAGGTTCCAGGGACTAGGGGAGGCTTTCTTGAGCAGGAGGAACAGAAGACAACAGGGCACAAAGGGATGTCCTGGGGATAATGACAGACAAACTACTGCTCATACCGAATACACCCTTTCTCATGCTGTGCCCAAACAGTGGGGTCACGGGTCCATGTGTGGGACAGCGGGGCTGGGTTGGAAGAGACCAGGGAACTGACAGGGACCAGGAAGCAACTGTCATGGGGTGGCTCAACCTGGAATTGGTGACTGCAAGAAAAGTCAAGAGCAAAGAGAAGAGTTTCAATTGATGGATTAGAGACCAAGGCTGAACAAGGAAAATGCAGCACTGCTCCTGAACAACGACAATGAGTTAATAAAAAGTAGACCCCATTAGGGCTGAGGGTTTCAATGTCTTCTCTGTCTGAGTCTTTCCTAAAAAGTTGTCCCTGACCTCTTTCTGCTCAAAGAAGAAGCTCAAGGATAGCATGTACTGGCAGGAACCTCATGAAATGCCAGAAGAACAAATGCCAGTGTCTACCTCTGCAGGGGACTCACCCTGACAGTGGCTGTGGCTGGGGGGGGCCCTGTGGGAAAGGTCTTGGTGGTCAGGGAGTTGGACAGGAGGCAGCCGTGTGCCCTGGCAACCAGGGAGGCCACCAGCTTCCTGGGCTGTATGACCAGGAGCATGGCCAGGAGATTGATGTCACGGATTCTCTGGAACACTTGCTTCTAATTTCAGATCTCTAGTTCAGAAATGATATTGGTAGGCTGGACTGGGTTTAACAAAATGCCCTCAGGACAGCCAGGGAGTAGAACACTTTGCCTGTGAGGAGCGGCTAAGGGAGCTGGGTTTGTCCAGCCCAGAGAATCAAGGAATCACAGTATGTTCGGGGTTGGAAGGGACCTCTGTGGGTCATCTAGTCCAACCCTCCTGC